TGTTATGAGAGAGAAAATTAATGTTTTTACAGACTAAGCTAGACATCAGTTTTCTAATTACTATTTCTTATCATGTGAAAACAAGATAAAGAACGATCAATTAGTTATTGAAAATATCGATATAAGATTTCAGTAAGGCTACCATCACGCAAGTTTAGATGATGGTATGCTTTGAATTTACAAGTAAACCACTTAGCTCCTCCCATTAGCATGTACACCTCTGGTTACACCCTTAACACTCTTTACCCCTTTGCTTAGTTATTTTAGCACTATTCTGTTAAATCTTATGATATAAATATCCCTCGTAGACCTTTCTATACATTTACCATATACTCATATAATATCTTTAGTTTAAGCTATGTTTAGTTCTATGAWTTTCACTCGTATTACTCTTAAATAAGATATCACACTTAGGAATTTACTATTTCCATTAGCCAATCAAGACACAGCGATAATATCATATTGATTGTAGAATGACACCTGTCATGAAGTTATTATAAATAGAGCTCATGTAATTAGTTTAAGTCAGATAGAGAAGAACAGAAGAAGAGAAAGTGGAATAAAGATCCCGTAGCTCGTACCGAGAGCGGTCCATCCCATAACAGAACCCTAGGGATTACGAACGGGGGTTATTTATATTGAAGGATTAGCATATAAACTGCAAAAGTAAGCATACTAAAACTCAAAAAGTTCAGTTTTTAATTGTAATTCTGTGTACTTGTGTACTGGAGTTTTCTTTGGCTGCGGACTAGAGTCTAACGACTTGAAGTTTGAGTTTGTGAAGACTAATTCGAAGACGTAGACCGGTGTSGAGATGGTGCGAACTATTGTATATTTTAAGATTTCCAGGTCATCTGAATGACTCGCAGACCTATGGATTGATTCCACAGTTGGGCATAGGACAATTTTCATTGCCAAGAGGAGCGAGATTTGCTGCTGATGGAGGATATCCCGCTACTGTACCGTTGATAAAGCSCCTGCGTAGGACGGTTGTGTGTAACCAACGGCAACGAAACGCTAATAGGATTTACGGTCTATTAGGGTAAAGATCGAACATGCAATTGGGTTTTTAAAAATTTGTCGAAGCACATCTACAACATTTCGACACAAAAGGCCACTTCTTCCGTTTGTCGTGGCTACATGTGGATCTCTATCGAACCGTAGAAAGCTGGTTGTCCGAAACGTTGTGCCATAAGTTGGAAAACAATAATGAAATAAATGCAGTTAAAAAATGTTGTATATCTTTATGATTGTCAGTCAGAAATAATGTTTTTAGAATTTCTCCTTGTCAATGAGTTTTTTGAGACGATAACTGTACCTTTTTTCGTCCACTAGAAATTGAAATTCCTGCAGTCAATAGCGCAGAGCAAACGTGACGTCATAAAAACGGAGACAAAGGCGAAATTCGGACAAACAAACTTACAAGTTTACTTTCAGCAGATAATTTTCACAGCCGATTGCAGTTGATCTTAGTTTACATGGGTTATTATTGTAACTTTAAGTAAAAATAATRAAATCGGTTCGTATAATGCGCTATTATAATATATATTGAACAATGGATTTTGAAACTTTTCAGAAAAATCGATCGAATAAAGATCAAGCTATTTTGAATGAACGTACGAGAAATAGGTATATTTGATATATATGATATAGCTGACCAAACAAGTAAATAAAATCAAAATTTAGCGGCCTAATCTTTGAGTACAAAGCAGGTTATTCGATATGTATGAAAGAATCAAAATGAACTGTCAGTATTAAGCAAAATACCTTTTTCTATATTTTCAATTTCAAACAGTGCTAATACATCTTTCGACAAGAAAAATAAAGGACTTGCGGGAAAAGAAAGGCGTTGCGCAAAAAGAGTAGATAAACTTTAAATAACGAATGCTTTCGTTGTATCGCTTCACCTTAGTTTAGTTGTTGAACTTCAGCTGACTTGATCTCCATAGATGCGTGGTTCAAATCCTGGACAAGCCATGTAATGTATTATTGTGTTCTTTTTTCATTCAAATACTACTTTAATTGACTTTATATCATATCAAACTTACATAAAATGATAATCAATTCTTATCTATCAGAATTCGGAATTTTAGTTGAAAATTCCGCTAAATCGGAAAACCCTAATAGATATGAAAAAAATGTCTTTTTGGCGGTTCGATTCATAAGTAATAAAACTGAGACGTGATATCAGTTGTCAGGTAGTTTTAGAGGATTAGAACTTTAAATCTATCTAAAATCTCCCTCAAAATTTTTTTTTCAACTGCAGTTCTTTGATAGCCTCTGCAACGGAGACTAGTCCTTTGATTGTTGGTCGTTGAAATGCTAGTCGGCGAACGAGACATCAAACTTCGCGGGTCACACTTCAACGATAATGGTTATAATTTGTGGAACACTTAAACCCTTCTCCTAATTACATGATTAGGAGTGTATCAAGTATAATGGGTTTAGTTTTAAGAAGAGTAAGTAAAAAATATAAATGATTTAGCTACTAGCTAGGGTAAAGGAGTGAACCGTTATGGACGTACCTTATGCGTTCCTGTCGTATGCTGAACTTCTGAACTGAATTTCTTTTCGTTTCTGCTGGAAAACAAAAACTAGTCTCTTTATTTGCTTTCGTAGCCTCTATATTGTTTTTGATTTCTTCTACTCTTACAAGAAAATACATGAAAAAATTGAGGGAAAATAAGCAATTAAAATTACATTAATATTATGGCTTAATTATTTAGTGTTATTGCCTCCCTCCCACACATTCGGTTAATTAACACACTGAATGCTTCCCTTTTCCCCATTTACCAAACCCTTCATTCTCAGTTTTGTTTAGAGTAGCTACGCACCCTATAGCCATCTAATTTTTAGTGGATTCCAATTCCCTTCCCTTGATCTTCACAAACAAATGAAATGGAAATAAAAAGGCTGATTGAGAAAACTACCCAGCAAACACATTAATTTTAGTTAGCGGAATCTGTTCAATTGAGGTTGTTGACTTATTATAACATGTTATGAAAAATAACCCCTTCTGGATGTCTCACTGAAATATCGGTGGATAAATGTCCTAGAATTGGAAGAAAAATCATGGTCATCAATAAATATCACATCCTCCGTAACTTTGCTTCTCGGTCCACTGACTGTTCTAATAATAATAATAATAATAATAATCTTTATTGAGATAATATGATCATGATTTTCAAAAAGGACCTCATTAAAATAATAATATATAATAAACGGAAAAACCTAAAATTATAACTAATATAGAGAATCTAAAATATTAAAACTATAAAAGAAAAAAAAAAAGTTATTAAAATCCAAGCTATTAAAGAAACAATGAGACTGACAGACAACAAACCGTGTCTATTATCTGACTATTTCATTGTTTCTTCAATATGTAAACCACTACTTAATAATATATAGCTAAAATATAATAAACTTAATGTATCTAAAATTCATTGAATAATATATGAGAAAACTCTTTTCTTAAAAATATTAATACTTTCTGAATTCCTAATGTTCTTGTTTAATGAATTAAAGTCTTTGACCGCTTGATAATCTGACTTTTTTCTTTTTTTCTTTTTTCGTACATTTTATAATCTTTAGTTAGGAAGCCAACTTAAAGGGGCACTTGGATGAAAACGCCAAGATCTTTGAAAGTCCGAATAATTTAAGTATTTGAGGATAATATGGCTCAATTACTATTATAAAAATTAGATTAGTGAAAATTTTAGCCTGGGAGCCACTCGCTGTTGAGATATTTTGGGTTAAAAGTGAAAAGAACAATAGGGTTGAATAAATGACGTCATTTACTCACAATTTAGATGCTAAATAAAATTGATAATTTTTTCCCGCCACTTTTGACTGTGAAGGAAACATGTTGGTTGGTTACTATCTGGGCCATATAGATAAGTTTAAACTAGTTTCAAGTCATTTGCAATTATTATTGATTTTCATCCAAGTACCCCTTTAAGTGAAAGGTGATTAACGATATTTTAGTGAGCCAGAAAGGGTTTATTTACTAAATATACTAATGTTTCCTCATTCTGGTGTATATTTATCGGCTTTAGTCACGACTTTTTTGTTATTTAATTTTTTTTGTCTCCTGTGGTTGCCCTCCGAAAGAATACAAAGAAAAATGAATAAATTTTTTTTCAAGGAAAAACAATAATATTTTTGTTCTTTTATTTCACTCCAAAAATAATCAAACATTAACAATTAAGTGGTTATAGGAATCAACGCTGAAATAATAATAAACAGAAAATAAGACGCAATGAATCGTGTAAATGACTAGCAAATAGAGGGATCGAAGTCAATACAGCTTGATCAATCCTTTTCCTCTTAAATACAGAGGTTTAGAATAAAACACATAATACTTGTAGGAGCGTATACTACCCTGATTGTTGTCCTGATTGTTTGAATTTGTCAACACCAAAGTTTAGGTTATTGGATAAATCAAGAATCCCGTTTATTTTTCTTCACTTAAATTTACTTCATTATCAGAACTTACGTTACATTCAGTTAAGAAAAGAAACAGCTAGATTCTTATCACTACGCCAAAGCAAGTTTTACGAAAACTACGATCATACGAAAACTCGTCGATTTTTTCATATATTTTTTTCAGGACTACAGCAGATCACTGCATCACACTTTCCCCGAGTTTCATGTTCATTGAAAATTTTTAAGACTGCCTAAAAGCGATGTTGTGTTAAACCTAAACTGGAGACGAAATCCAAGAGCAACGGATTATCCAAAACTTATTGACATCGCTTCAATATTTACTTAACTTTACGTTTATTTTAGGCAGCCTTAGAAGTTATCGGTGAGCATGAAATTCAAGGAAAGGTATTCCTGAAAAAATCCACGAAAGAAATCGACGTCATGATCGTAGTTTTCATGAAACTGTCTGTAAAACCGCGAGTGCTTAAGCAACCGACCAAACGAACAAACGAACTGATGCCTTGCAGTCGTCGTGATTCATTTATGCGTCGCATGTTCAGGCGGGTGTTTGTTCTGATGACCTTCACTGTAGGTGTTTAAATTTTGTGCGTGGTTAATGGCGCCCAGGCTTATTTTTGGGCTTCACCGGGACGGATCCAGGCAAATGAGTGCGGTAGCCCCTCCCTCTTTTAGCCATATATAGTTTTATTTGATCAAAGTAATCAAGAGATTTACAGTAAAATGAGCTTTACTTACAAGTCAAGCAAAAATTCGGTCAAGCCCACCCTTATATTTTTGGCAGGCGATGATCCACCACTAATTCAACCACATGGCTCAAAATCTCTTGAGATATAATAAGCAATGACTTTGTCATGCTACTGTCAACCAACATGTTGCGGGCTATGACGTTACATGTACCCCAAGAATACTATACGAAGATGATGTGCGCACTGTTTACATATATCACAGCACAGTGAATGTACGGTTTATCATCCTCAGTTTGTATGTGTTTTGGTATCTTTTCGCGGGCTTTTTTTAAAATGATAAATGCTAGCTCTTAAATCAAATGCGCCAACTTCACATGACGTCGAGGTTTTGGAATAGAAGGGAAGGAAGGAATGGGATGAGCTGAAATATGTATGCTGTTTTATTACATATAGTGCAAAGCCTTAATTATATTTTATATAAATACTTGGCTATATTATTGGATAAAATTGCTTGATTGGCAAATGAAAAAAACGTGAAAAGCAAATTTGTTTCCTAATGGATGAGAGCTCTTCATTGATAGTGGAAATAATGTCAACCAATGAAAACAGAAGCAGTTTTGGATGTAAGATCCAATTGGACAAGACTTTCTGAATGAAAGTTCAAAACGCGCGAAAATTAGACTTATCCTATTGGTTAAAAAAATATGGACGAGAGCATCATCACATGTAGTTACCAAACAGCCAATTAGATTGCAGATTTTCTGAACGTAGTCTAATCTTATTGGTTGGTATTGTTTGATTGACACTTGGTTCACGTGCGAATGCATTCTCAGCTCTCTGATGTGTAGCGTTTGACTTTATAATCAAGTTGACGTGAAGTAAGTCAGGTATGTACTGCTCTATTCCTTCAAAATTTGCTTCAAAAACCCAATTTTTTCGTTATTTTGTTCTTTTGGCAAACCGAATTTGTAGTTTTATATCAAACCTTCCTAGTTACAAGGGAAAAAACATAGTTTATCGCTTTAAAACAATTTGTTTTACTTCCCAAAAGTCAAGAGCTGAATGACTGGATGTCACCTTTTACACGAATTATTTGGAACTTTGCTTTACTTTTAACAAAAAACTTGCTAAAGGTGAACGATTCATGTCGTTTTTTTAAAGTTTCCAACAAGAATTCTCATACTTTTTGCTTGTAGAAGAAAATTTTCATTCACGATGTCGAATGAAGTGCAAAGCAACCACGAACCAAAAGACTACAAACTCTCTTGCTTTGTACAATTTTCTTCAATTGTGTATACTCTATTGTACTCTTAATTAGATATTATGACTTTTGAAATTTGTTTTTATACGTTTTTTGATTATTTTTTGGTTCGAAATTGTCTCAATTTAAGTTTTCGCGCACTTTTCATGTCGCCAACTTGACAACTTGAATTCTTGAAAACTTTTTTCAAAAAACTTGCTAAAGGTAAACGATTGCTGTAGATTTTCGAGGTTTTCAACACGAATTCTGATAATGTTTGCTTGTAGAAGAAAATTTTCACTCACGACGTTGAATAAAGTGCAAAGTGACCATGAGCCAAAAGACTAAGAATTCTTTGCTTTGTACAATGTTATTCAAGTGTGTATATTCTTTTGTACTTTTAATTATATACTGTGATTGTTGAAGTTTGAATTTTCTATTTATTTTATCTTATTTCATTTTATTTTATCTTATTTTACTTTATCTTATTTTATTTATTTATTTATTTATTTATTTATTTATTTATTTATTTATTTATTTATTTATTTATTTATTTNTATGTCAATGTATGTTAAGTTTTATTTATTTATTTATTTATTTATTTATTTATTTATTTATTTATTTATTTATTTATTTATTTATTTATTTATTGTCTAAAACTGTTTCAATTTACTTTTCGCGCGCTTTTCACGTCGCCAGATTTGACTGGACAACTTAAAATCTTGGAAAACGTTTAACAAAAAACTAGCTAAAGTGGATTATATTGAATTTTTGACTAAAAAGTTGTTCTTTTAACAGTAAAAAGGCCTTGGGATCTCATAATTATCAACTTATTGTAATTGCTAATCAAAGATTATTATTTTTTATCAAATTTAGAACATTTTCATTTTGGCGCAGTTTTCCTCTGTTGGTTGACCAAAGTTATTAAAACTTTCTAATGCTGTGGGTTGTCATTATTTGTAATGCTTATATATATCTTTCTATCAAATACTGATATATTTTATCGATTTTTCAGATTATTAATCATTATTGGAAGTGGTTATATAGAGTACCTAGAAGCAAGAAGAAGACTACTGTGTATCGTAAGACTGTGTTGATGGTGGAAGATCTTGAACAAGTTCAATGAAAATTAAATTGCTTTATGGTTTGGCTGGTTGGAACTTATTCGTGATCTTCCTATTGTTGCATTGCAGTTAGATGGAAAGAGGTGGGCAGAGGCAGTTCCTAAATCAAAAAGGAACTTAATCAAAAAAATGAACTCATTAGGTTAGGTCTTTGACTTGCAGACATCTGTGAAAAATATTCCGCTATCATTGACAAAGAAATTGGCTCGTATGTTGCAAGTCAAAAATTTCTGCAATGCTTTTTTTGTCGATATAGAAATATTTTTAGGCTAGCAGTAAGAGGGATCCAGATGCAAGGCTGGACCCAGGGATTATTTGTTTGACAAGAAGCTACCACTGTCTTAAAACTAGGAGGGGTATGGCGGATTATTAGTGTTTTTGACTGGTCATCTCGACCAGGGTCAATTGGCCAATACTAGGCTAGTTTTTCAAATGAACTTTAGTCACCAAGCTGGCAACGCTGCACGTCGATGAAGACATAGGATCTACACATATAAGGTGTAAACTTTAGTCAACTGGAGTTCAGGCTTACTTGAGTAACGCTGGCTAGTACAGATCACTCACTCCCCTCACACAGCGCCCAAGGTTAGGTGCCTTCTATTCTTAGCTTAGACTGGCCAGTTGCGTGCTCTCGTAAGACTAGGTACAGTCAGGATCACCCACCGGAGTAATGACCTCGCTCCTTCCCCGGTTGATGGTTGCAATTGAAAATACTGACTTGCTGCTCCAGTGTAGTTTTGCTTTTCAGTCGTGGCTCAAGTCTACCAAGAACAGCCAAACTCGGCTGCCTCTAAAAGAAGACGAGTCTGCGATAGTTTTCTGTTTTATCATGCACCGGGCATGTCAGTGGTAGCTTCTTTAGGATAGAGTTTTGTATAATATAAAACTAGAGATGTTTATGATTGATGTTTATGCATGTTTGTGTGTATATTTCTTGTTTCTTTCGCAGGTTGTATTGTAGATATTTTATTATTTTAATGCTCTTGTTCGATGGAAATTTGATCGATTCTTTCTTTTTTGCATTGATAGAAACTTTAGGCATTGTAGGTTTTAGTAGAGTTTTTCGTAGGGGTTTTTGATCATTATTTCACTTGAAATACGGTATGGTACATCATTCTACACTCGATCATTTCGATCTTCGAACTTTTTTCGACGACAAGTTTAACTCGTCTTGTAAAACAGTTTTCTCTCAGGTTTTTGTTCTATCACGTAATATTTGAAAATAATAGATCGAGAGTGTGGGTAATAGATATTCCAGCTCTCTCTGAAGTATTCGTTACTTCCTTGAGAATCCTGGAATATCCCCTCTTTTCTAAGTTTAATCTCATTCGGTAGCATGATGTAATAATAGATTCGAGGTGCATGGGTCTTGGATATTCCAGCTCTCTCTGAAGTATTCGTTACTTCCTTGAGAATCCTGGAATATCCCCTCTTTTCTTAGCCTCCTTCGCAGCCGTTCTTAGGGTCGTCACGCAACGTTTCCCTCCCCACAGGAGGGAAACGTTGCGTGACGACCCTAAGAACGGCTGCGAAGGAGGCTACTCTTTTCTTAGTTTAATCTCATTCGGCAGCATGATGTAATAATAGATTCGAGGGTGTGGGTCTTGGATATTCCAGCTCTCTCTGAAGTATTCATTACTTCCTTGAGAATCCTGGAATATCCCCTCTTTTCTTAGTTTAATCTCA